GAAGAAGAAATAGAGGATAATGGTAAATTGGTATGTGCTGAAATCCACAGTTCGGCTACACCTGGATTTTTCAGTGATAGCGAGTTACCTAATCATGTGTCTACACAAAAAAAAGTAATTTGCAGAATGTTTGCAAAAAGGAAGAAAAGCATTTGTGTGTTGTTTCATTAATGACTTACTGTCAAGTGCTGATGAGTCTCAACATGGAGCGTGTCCCAGCAGCATATGCAGTCGTAGCGGCTGCATTGGTGACTGCAGCCAGACCCCCTGTCTGAAGGACAAAAATCCTGCCCCTTCCCAGCTGGTCAAAGGGAAAATCTCTGTCCCTGGTTGCCAGCTGCAAACCAGGGAGCAGAGTGAAGGCTGGTAAAACCTTGCAGTTTCAATTCCCTTCAGTAGCAGCTGATCAAGTGGTCTCAATTAATGGTTGTGGTCACCCTCCCTGCCAAGTCCACAGAGCTCTTTCTCTTCCCAGCAAATCCCACCGCCGCCATTTGGGAACTGGGTACGAGTGGCCTTTCTCTGGGGCCGTTTTTGGCCAGGCAGCCAGTAACACCGCTTCAGTAACTCATGTCTCTCGGTTACCAGTGATCAGACCTAACAGAATAAGAAAACCCTGCTGACAAACAAGAATGGCAGGTTTCTTTGTGTACAAAGCAGTCCCTGGATGAAGAGTGGCTGGGGAGCACCCACAGCAGATGCCTATATACATATATATATAGTTCCAGCTGTGTCCTGCTGTGCTTTCAGCACTGATGGTGGCATTCAGTGCACCCTTAAACTAACTGACTCCATGTAGAGAGGCTGGATAAGACAGGTCTGATAAAGACGGGAGCTTTGCTGGTGATGAGAGTGGCATTCCCAGGGTGGCATCCCTTCAAGGCCAGGTTTGGTGACTCAGGAATCTGGCAAATTACTGAGTCCCAGCCCAAATGTCCATGATCCCACTGCAGCGTGTTCAGTGAAGCTGTGTTTATTTGCACGGACCGGTGAGCTGGCGCTGTGCGGCGATGCCAGCTGCCGGTGGGGGTGTCGGGAGGCAGTTCAGCTCTCTGCTCTGCGGATTGAATTTGTGTCCCCAGGCAGCCTTGCAACGGCTGACCCTCTTCTGCCATCTTCCACATAGAACACTATCTCATCTGCACCCTTTGCGCACAGTCAGGGTCCCAGTCACTTTGTGAAGGATTTTGGCTGCATCTGAACTGCAGAATCCAGAGCACTTGTCATCTCCTGCATCCCCACGTTGACTCTCTCAAGAGACCTTGGGTCATAGCATTTTACCTCTGTTTCTCTGGAAGGCAAACAAGGATGCATAGGAGGAAGGAGGACACTTTTGTCTCATAAAACCTTTTATGAAGTCAGCATGCAATTGCCTTCACAGTACAGCTGTACCATGCAATATCTTGATGGCCACCTGGCTGCAATTGCTTTGCTGGGCTGATGGTATATTTAGGGTTGCGTCCTCAAGTGCTCGGGGGTCAAGATGCTCAAATATCAGCTCTTTCTTTAAATGCTGACGTGCAGTGAGGAGGAGCAGCACGCTCCTGGAATTGATACATGCCTGTCAGTATTCCCCCAGCGCACGGGGCCGTGACTTGTGTGCAGGCGGGCACCCTGCAGAGGTGGCATCCTGGCTGGAGAGGCCTGGACTGTGGCAGCAAGAAGAAAAACAAGGCAGCAGTCTTGCCATTTATGCAGACTTTGTATGTCTACCTTTGACGCCACGGCTCTGTGGGTGCGGAGGTGGCACTGTGCATGCAGCCGTGGGAGCTCCCCGTCAGAGCATCCGTCCGCAGCCTGGGCAGCCCTGGCGCCGCTGTGGTGCCCCGTGCTTTTAAAAGGAAGGTGATTTGTGAGAGGAAGGTAGGACTTTAGCTTCTAAGAAGCCTTTCTTACACAGGTCTCTTGCCTCACACGACGCACCCCGAGAGGATTAACCAACACAGAAATAATGGGTTTTGCTTTGTTCATTTTGTTCCTCGTCTGCTGGATGTTTGTGTCACATGCTGTCCCTTGTGCGGCCCGGTACCTGCATTGTTCCTTGAGGTCCACCTGAGGAAAGGGGAAAAAGGAATGTGAGCAGCTCCACTGAGACTTCCCCACTTTTAAGTCTGAAGGGGCTGCCCAGGAACCTGCTGATTTTGGAGACTGTAGCTTATAGCACTGGTGATGCTAATAGTAGCGTTAATTGCACTTTTTTTTTTTTTTTTCCTTTTTTGCCTAGATTCATTGAAGGAAACAAAATTGAAACCATTTCAAGAAATGCATTTCGTGGCCTTCGAGACCTGACTCACCTGTAAGTTATTTAACACTTGGTTGAGTAATCTGTACTTGAACAAAACTCTTCTGGGGGAACGCTGATTTTCCAGCCACATAGAAAGCCTCCCTTCCCCTCCATGCACCAGCTTCCTCTCGCTGTCAATAACCTGCCTTCCACAAATTAAAAAATGGCCTTTAAAAAATTGCTGCTCAGGCAGCACTGCGGCATGTTCGGCTGCCTGCGCGCAGGCGTGCTGGGGTGCGGCTGTGACCTGTGGGTGCCGCACCGGTACCACCGTGATGCCACCTACTCGTGATTAACATCTCTGTTTATTTTCTGTATGCTCAGTGATTGCTCTGTGTGTTACATTTGCACCTGGGCAATATGAAAGCTTTATGTATTTTATTTTTACATGAGCTTCAAGCAATCGCCGTTCTTGAATGAGAATAATTAATATGTGCCTGTTCCTTGCAACTATTAACAATGCCAGTGGCTGGACAGTACTAGTTAATTAACAACCTGTAAGTGAGCTCAGACGTAATAAGAGTCAGCCAGTCAAGAGATGGCAACGATACTAAGCTCTCACTTTCTTTTCTAGTTCTTTGGCCAATAACCATCTCAAAGCTCTGCCAAGGGATGTCTTCAGTGATTTAGATTCTTTAATTGAACTGTAAGTAATGAGAGTCTTACTGCCTGCTTCTGTCACTCTGTTACTCTGAGGTTTACGTTCTGGGTTTGCGTGGTGCTGTAACTGATACCTGCACAGAAAAGAAATGTGTGGTTTTTTGTTCTAGCTTTTCTCATTTTAAAAATGTTTACTTGATAGACTCCTCCAAAATAACTGCTATTTCTCAAATCACTGTTGCTTCTCGTGATGCTGTACAAAGCTTGCATTATTGTACTTCTTTCTGATGTTTCATATAAATTGTCTTTTAGGGAAAGGGAGAAAATTAATTTTAAAACTACAATCTCTCTGAATGCTTTTTCCTGTTATTGTTGCATGTATTCCCTGAGATTATTTTAGTAAAAGGCATTAATTTAAAAAAAATGCTTTTTTTCTTGTTTTTGTGCAGTTGTAGCACACTGCTGACTTACTGCCAGCGTTTTCTTGTATAACTGAGCCGCTAGTCAGCTTCCCCTGTTTTTGGCCTGGTTCTCCCAAATAGCAAAGTGTAATTGTAAGCCACAAAAATTGGCAAGGGATCGAAGAACAGGTACAGTGTGGAAATTGCACATACTTCAGTAGGGGGAGGTTATATTGACTCCACATCATCAGCAACTCTAAAAATACAAGCCTTACATCTGTATTTTAATGTAACGCAGAAATGGTACCAGCAAGGCCACTCTGTCAACCAGTGGTACTGGAGTAGTTTAGTGAAGAAATGGGATTTATCCATGTCAGCGGCAGATGGTGGGATGGAGGCTTGCAGCAGACAACCACACTGTCAGGATTTGTTACGTTATAGTCCTAATCCTATGAAAATTTGAGTGACTTCACACGTGAATCACAGTGCTCTATTAGTAAGACTGTACGTGGGCATATTCCCTAGATTGAAACTGGTTTTTGAGGACAGCGCTCAGTGCAGGAGAGTCCATAGTAAGAGAGTCCGAATGAAAGTTAACTTTCCTGTTCTCAGTTCGAAACCAATTCAAGGCTACTCAGATATTTTTAAATTCAGCATGTCAAGGTGATAACAGTTCTGTAGTGTTCATATTGCTATCAACCTTTTCAAATATGTTTATTTCTGTGTGTTTTTTTAGAGATTTAAGGGGAAATAAATTTGAGTGTGACTGCAAAGCCAAGTGGTTGTTTTTGTGGTTAAAGATGACAAATTCCACTGTTTCTGATGTCCTGTGTATTGGTCCAGCAGAATATCAGGATAAGAAGTTAAATGATGTGACAAGTTTTGATTATGAATGCACCACTACAGGTATTCAGAATGTATATTTCTAAGCACACTGCAAATGGTTCAATATCAGAAGTGTAGACTATACCCTTTCGCTTCTGTGAGCATGACCTGGGGGGAGGAAAGGGTTACATAAAAAGCACTTCCGAGTACCAGAGCAAGCATAAAATGGGAAAATTACATTTCGAAGCCAAAGTAAGTAGCGAGTTTTTATATATTTGGATTAAGTGATAATGGGAGAAGAGCTCTGACTATTCATATTCCAAAAGACTTGATTATGACTCACTTTGTGACTTAATTTTCACCACAGAATGCATTCTATTATCTGGAATAAGGCCATATAGTTATGGCAGATGAGCTTCCCAAAATCTCTGTATTTCACAGAAAGCAATGAAAAGAAGTTCAAATAATGTGGCTATATCTGTTATCTTTATTCAGTAGGCCACAATTTAATAGCATCAAATGTGGCGGCAATACTGCTAGCAGTTCTTCATGGAACTCCATTAAGTTGGAGAAAAATGTCCAATAATATTCTGACTACTGTCTTGTTTAGGATCCTGATTTTTATTTTAGGGGATGTAAAGCATGCTGAAGGAAGTGAGGAGAAACTTGCATGTGGTTATGCTTATATTTTATGACCGAACAGCCGCAGTTACCTGTCTTTAAATGTAGTCACATCATAGAACTGAGATTATCAGCTGCAAGTACTGTTTTTCATCTTTCATGTACATGATATCAGCACTCTGCCTTTTTTCTATACAGTAATATCAGAGGCATCTGAGCTCTCATCTGTCATTGAGGCAGTCATCAACATTAGCAGACAATAGAAAAGTTGTTTACTAGTAATGTAAAATAAAGTTTCAGGACAAGGTATGAAAGCTAATCCAAGGGCAGTATGTAAAGGAAAAGAGAATTAACTCAGAATTCAAAAATACGTCAGAAGAGCAGCAGAGGTAAAGCACAATTATCTGCTACATAAAAAGATGTCAAAACCAGGAGAGCGATGTAGCTTGGAACAGTACTAAAGTTATGTTCCTGTGTCTGCCAAATCACCAAGATGCAAAAGTACAAAGTAAAAGCAGGCTTTATTTCATTTCAGTCTGGTTTAAGCAATCGCGCAGCACTAACAGAGCGCGAGAACAAGCCTTATCTAGCTGGTCTTCAGAGCTGTACTGACCTACCTGCCCTCTGTCATCTCTTTGTACTTAGAAACCTAACTATAAAGTTGCTACAGGCAAAATTCGCCCTTAATGTCGGTCCCTTTGTCTGCTGTAAGTGAAATTACACCAAGCACAAATCTAATTTCACATGCTGTAGAGTTTGCTGGGGAGCTAAGGCGTTACGTGGTACAAGGATTGCCCAGCTGAGTATTTGTCCAAAGGCCATCAGAGCAGTGCTCTCGCAGCACAGCATATAGCTGTAGTGCACGCTTCAGGTAGTGAAGGATGTTTTGCAACCAGTCATTCCATGGCTGCTGAGGGAAGGCTGTGTGCCTAACCCCTCTGGCCTGGGGGTAGGCAGCAGCAGGCTTCCCAGACCTCCAGCACGTAGTGAAGGTGGAGGACGCAGATGTTGTGGAGCTCCAGCATCCTTACAGAGTGTCTGAGAGGGACAGACTGCATGCAGAAATGTAAGGCAAAAAATGGAGATGAGTAGAAATGCAAATCTTCAGGAATGTGTCACCTCTGAGACAGCATCACGTCCCCTGCACCGAACTGGAAGTTACCTTGCTGGAGATGTAACCCTCTGGTGGCCTTGGTGGTCTGTGGTGTCAGGCCACAGCTGCTTTTTCCTTCTCTGCCATTGCCTCCCCCAGATACAAAGGGAGTGTAAAGATCCCCATATTCATTCCTTGAGGACTGATTAGTCACAGGCTCAGGCTTGTACCATATTCTGAAGTAAAGCAACATACCCTGTGGGTGCATTCTCCTTTCCCACTCAGTGACGGGCAGTGCTCTGCAAACCTCTTTCATTCATGTTAGTCTTTAGTATTGTATTTCCCTCCTTCGCCAGGCATGATCAGATTCTCCATCATTTCTGCTTTCCGGGACTCTTGTGTGGAGCAGGACTGGACGTAGGATGTGGTAACAAAGCAGTTTGTTTGGTGAAGTGTGCATCTCCACGGCTCCGTCAGTTCATTGCGTCCTCTAAACTGCTACAATGGTAACAGGAGGAGAGATGTAAAGAGGTGCTGCCATGTTAAACAAAAAGCCAATGAACAGAACGCTCCTATTGCTTATGCACCGAGAAAGTGATCCACAGCATCGGTGATCTGCAGTTTCTACTGTCTTCGTGATGGCATCTCTCTTTTCCATTTCTCATGACTTGCCTCATGGAAGCAGGTTAAGCCGTTTCACTTTGTTTCTTGTCTTTCTCCCACAACAGTGTGTGAGGGGGCTGTGCTGTGGCTGTAAGCATGGCAGGGGAACATGTACTTACTTTCAGAAGACCAGAAAATGGGCCTCGCACTCCCACAGTCACTGCAAATAGGCTGTGTGTGTGCCTGGGACCTGCTTTGCCCAGGCCTGTTGGCAGGGATCATCTCGCCAAGCTTTGAAAAGTTGATTTCCCCTTTCTTTACCTAGCTGGGATGGAAGGAAGGTGGTTTGCAAATTAAGAGTTGCCTACTCCATACTCACTCCTGTGCTGGAGGTCAGCCATGCCACCATGGTGGGATGCAGGAAGGGATGGCTAACGCTCCCTGAGAGCACCCCAGGCCCTGAGTAGCCTCACCTAGAGCAGAATTCTCCGCCATGGAGAAGAAGGGCTGTGAGGAGAGGGGCATGACTGGTGGCCAAGTCCCAGGATGCAGTTTAGGAGCTGCTGCCCAAAGAGGTCATTGCTCTCCTTTCCCTTCAGTGTCCTCCAGCAGTCCCCGCGTGCTTCCTCCCTGCTCTGCCAGCATCAGCACTCCTGTGTGCTGGGATCCGCAGAGGCTACGGGGGGGGGGAAATCAGCCCAACAACAAAAACATTGGGTCCCTCATCCGTGACGTTCCGCAGCCAAAGGAGCAGAGGCAGAGCAGGCGGCTGGATGATGGGGGACCACCCCAGCCCTCAGCCGGTGGAAAACCATGTCAAAACCATGTGTCTGGAGCCAGGGAGAGTATTGGGGAGCACTGGGGTGAGAGGGAGACCGCGACAGCCCACGCAGCCAGCAGCACAGGAGGAAAGCAAGGGCTGTGTCCTCTTCCCTCTCCCCTGCAGGCTGATCCAGCTTAAAAGAGAAATATGTTGGGGAACATCCCCCTCCGAGACTGTATGTACTGTGTGATCTCTTTCTAGCATTAAAGCAAGGCATGTGGACCTGCCTGTAAAACTAAATCAATCCCCTAAGACCTACATTTTTAGCAAGCCTGTTGTGGCAGCACCTCTTCACTGTGTAACCCTGTTCCACATTAGAGTCTGCTATTCCCAACCGGTGCTAAACCCAACATTTATTGCTTTTTAGTGATTACAACTGATTTTCGTTACCCATTTTTACTCGTCAAGTGACATAAAGAGCCCAATGACAGGTACAAGTAAAAATAGCTGTGTTAACACTGAATCATTTCTGAATGAGCAGAGGGTTTTAACACACAGACCGTTTTTTTTTTTAAATTCACAGATTCTCTCAAAGTGTTTCACAACTGTTCAGATTTCAAGAGATGTCTTTTTCAGCATTAGTTTTTTTCTTTTTCTCAAGATTTTAAAAATATTTTGATTTTCTGTGGCTGTATCTGCTATTGTTGCATCCTTTCATGATTTATCACTTACTTTTACTTTCTGCATACTTCAGTGTCAGTTTTCTCCAGTCCTTTTATTTTCCCAGTGAGAATGAAGATAACTTTCTTGTTTTCCTACCAGCATTTATGAATCAAGCCCAAACTCTATTTATAATAGTCCCTCGAAGAATGGAGACTGTCATTTCTTTTGCAGCTATAGAATCTTCTCTGTTTGTTTAATGGTAGTCATCTATCTTTATTCTCCAGAAGTGTAACTCCTCAAGGGCAGGGCTTTCAAGCATGCAGAGACAGAGAGTTCTTCGTTCAAAAACAATTAATTATTTCATAATGCACCAAAATCAGGGATTCGAGTGAGGACTTAATTATCATTTCACCAAAATCCCTGGATGCTCAGGCCCTTCCAACATAGGAGTGCATGGTGAAAGCATCTAGCAAACGGGGCTTGAAACAGAGCTGTGCGTGATTCTGCAGAGAAGCTCCATCGTGGTGGAAGATGCATTTCCTTTTCTCTGTATCTATATCCATACATCACTTGCATGCAGGCCTTCTGCCATGTTCTAGACCCAAGTGCTGGCTTTCCTTTGTCAGCTCTGCTGTACCAGTTTCTTTTTCTGATAACAATGACCTTGCCCAGCTCTCAGGCCAAAGACCTAATTCAGATGCAAGTCTCCTCGCTTTGCCCCACATTGGCTCTGTGCTGACTGATGACTTAGCCCAGGGTGAACTTTAGAGTGAAGTCTACAAAGGCACTTGCATTTCGAGAAGAAATCTTGAATTTTGGAGTTATACTCTTAGTCTTTACAGGTTTCTCCAACTCCTCAGTCTTAGTATCTAGAGTAAGCTTTCCACTGGGTAGTAATTTGCAGGTTGGTTGTATTTTATGCCTAAACTACTTCACAATGCCCCATAAAACGTTATGTTAACTGAGTTTTTGATTACACCATTTTGTCTGTGGTCTAGCCAAAATGGGGTTATCCCCAGGCAAACTTGAGATTATCATTTCACTTTCTGCCTGGTTTAGCATAACACAAATTGCTAGTGATTAAATTTGCATGACTTAAGAAGTTATTTGACTTCAGCTGGAAGTTGCTGTCTCTCAGCTTGAAAGTGATTCTAGCAAGGCCATTTCACTTGACGGGAAAGCAACTTCCAGCTGTGGGGAAAGAGACTTCTCTCTTGATCTCCTGATTTCATTGATACCAGCCAGCCTAGCTGGAAAATCTGATTTCTGCCACTATTTACTTATTTGATCTCCTTGGCAACTGTATTGCCAGAGGACAGTTTATGAAGCCTAAAGCAGGAGAAGCTTTCCCCTCTTGCTGCATGCCTAACGTGAGCACCGACACTTCCATGCTAGTGTTATACAAAATCCAGAGCATTTAACTCATTTTTCAGTGTTAATTGTTATAATCAGCAACCACTTACTGTGTGTTTCCAGGGAGGATGTATCCTAATTGTTGTAAATGTATGTTTCTAGATTTTGTTGTTCACCAGATTTTGCCCTATCAGTCAGTTTCAGTGGATACGTTCAACTCAAAGAATGATGTGTTCGTAGCCATTGCACAGCCCAGCATGGAGAACTGCATGGTGCTGGAGTGGGATCACATTGAAATGAATTTCAGGAGTTATGACAATATCACAGGTATATGAACACTGGGGTTCCAGTCACTGATGAACTGTTGGTGTTTCACCAACAGATTCTTACACAGGACCAGCTGAGGGGTTTTGTCCTGAATCTCTGTTGAAATGGGCAGATCAAAGTGTGTAATGTTTGGACATGAGTGACTTCGTGGAGTAGTGCATCTTGTTAATACATGCACATTTAACCTCGCTGTAGCACACAAACTAGACTTTTTTTCTGATCTTGTAAATTGTTCTGAAGGCACAAACACTTGCTGTGAATGTCACACCATGACCCAGCTTAGACACTTGCTGCCTGAATCACACTGCAAGTTAAAGCACAGGCTAAAGGAGCCCTTACTCTTGCCAAAGTGCCTGCAAAATAGAATATAAAAATACTCTGCTGCATGTAGAAGGAAATAGGTCTGAAGGATGGATCTAGGGTAGGCTGGCCAAGAAAGTGGGTTTCACAGCTGAAGATGACATAGAAATATTTAAACCACGGCTGTTACCTAAAAAGATGTGCTGTAAAGCTTTCATGTTTACTTTCCATTTATAAACATGCTAAATTAGCATCCTGGCCAGATTACTCATCAAACAAAAAGCCCATGTGGATGCCAAGTGATTTGCTAATGCTAACAACCATTCTGTCACTAACCGACACTTTGTGGTGCTATGCAGAGCTCACTCACACCACGACAGCAGGGACAGAGTCTTTACAGCTGCTATATGCTGCCCAGTTTCCCAACTACTTCAAGCTACAGGTTCTGAGGTCTCAGGAGCTAAATCTATCCATGGAACACCTTTCCCTCCTGTTCCTTGTTATGTGGGATTGATAGATTATTTTTCACCTTGTATTTTGGGAAACAAAAGAGTATTCTGCATCCTCATCTGGTGGTGTGGGAAGTCCACAAAGGCAGCAAGCACCTACCTCCTCAGATCAACTATGTGTGTCACTAACGAAAGTTTACAAGATGCTACCCCTCTGTCAGGAAATTTTGGAAATGAAAGCTTTTGCTTTTTCAGGTTTCATTGTGTTTTGGTAGCTTAGGGGGAAATATGTACCAGTGGATGTAAATTGAGAAGACGATGGCCTGAAGAGAGCTAGCAGAGCTCTAGAAAAGCTCTGGAAATGAAGTTGAGAGTTTAGGTCATTTGCGAAGACAGTTGTCTTCTGGATGTATTTCATCGTCCTGTGAATGACATGATCAGGAGACATTTCTGCTGGGGACTTGTGTCCTAGCTCCACATCCAGCGTGCATGCCGAGACTCATTTCTCGAATGACTGTCCTGTGTTCCTGGAAGGCCTGAGCTTAAGCTCTGGACTCTGAAGTGTAAGCAAGCGAGAGACTTTTGCCAAGGGACGCAGGCAGGTAAAGAGATTTTTGCAGAGCCTAAAGAGCATTTTGTAGAGCTCAGGAGCCAGCTATGTGCTCCACGGGCAGTTTCATTACTAACTATATGCTTGGCATTTGGATGGCCAAATTTAGCCCTTTACAACATGGGCTTATTGACCTGAGCTAGTTGTCAGGATTGCCTTTAGAGTCAATGTGCAGAGAATAGGTGTTGCTATCCTCTGCAGAAGGAGACATCTACAGGCCAGGTGAAATCTTTCCCTGAGTGCTTTTTAACTAAGTTAGATCAGAAGGAGCCTGGATGACCAGCTCAAGCGTTTGTGTCTACACTGCAAGTATCTTAGGATACTTGAGATGAATCCCACCCCTCCTACACTGGAAGGGTGGTGGATCATCCGAGGCTGGCTGTGAAACATGAATGGGTAGGAGGCCAGGAAAGATGCCAGGGTGAGTCTCCTGTAGTGACTGTGACCATACACGCAGAGAGGAGTTTGTGGAGATACCATTCTCCTTAAACTGCGTGCTTCAGAGAGGAATTCCTCTCTTCTTCTAACAAAACCTTCCATAAATAGCCTGATTGTTACTTTTCTCAAAAGAGACCACAGCTCGATCTGATCTAATCTGGCAACTACACTATTCCTAAATATTTCTAGTTTAGCATAATCTCAGAAGGACTTAACAGAAACAACAGAGTTAAATTTATCTTTTTCACCCTGCTGTCAGGTGATATATCCACGATGCATCAATATTTCTTTTTACCGTACCAAAAAGCTGACTCTGGCCCTCTTGGAGCAAGAAAAATAGGCTATATTTTATTCTTCTAGTTAAACTGGAAAGGTAGACATTCCAAGAATAAGAGAATTTCAGATTCCTGCCGAATCATGAGATAACAACTCTTGTTATTTTGGAATAATAAAATTTGTCTTAAACAATTATTTTGGATATTAGGGGGCACGTGTTTGAACAAAGAGAGAAAGAAAAAGTATTCTGGATAAAAAGGAATAAGCATTTTAGCGTGCATCATATTTGCACACTGTGAAGGGTGTGACATTTCCAACATTTGAAGTCATCTTTGCAGTTATCGGGGACAAAAAAGTATGAGAAGAAGCTCTGACAGCACATAGTAAAAGATAAAATTATGAGATGGTGAAGATTTTAAAAAAAGGGGGGGGTGATTTGGTAATATCTCTATGGTTTAAAAGGTGCTTTGCTCTGTGCTAATATATGTGCTTTATTTTTTCTTCGGGCAATAGGTCAGTCCATAGTGGGATGTAAAGCCATTCTTGTTGGTGACCAAGTCTTTGTGGTGGTGGCACAGCTCTTTGGTGGCTCACACATTTACAAGTATGACGACAGCTGGACAAAGTTTGTCAAATTCCAGGATATCGAAGTATCTCGCATTTCCAAGCCGAATGATATAGAGCTTTTTGAGATAGACAGTGAAATGTTTTTTGTCATAGCAGATAGCTCTAAAGCAGGTTTGTCAACAGTGTACAAGTGGAACAACAAAGGGTTTTACTCGTACCAGTCCCTTCATGAGTGGTTCAGGGACACTGATGCGGAGTTTCTTGATATAGATGGGAAATCACATTTAATCCTCTCTAGTCGCTCCCAGGTTCCCATTATACTCCAGTGGAACAAAGTTTCCAAAAAGTTTGTCCCACACAGTGAAATCCCCAATATGGAAGATGTCTTGGCTGTGAAGAGTTTCAGGATGCAAGATAACCTGTACATCACGCTCACAAGATTCATTGGTGACTCCAGAGTTATGAAATGGAATAGCAAACAGTTTGTGGAGATACAGGCCCTTCCATCCCGAGGAGCCATGACGCTGCAGCCTTTCTCCTTCAAGAGCAATTACTACCTAGCCTTGGGAAGTGACTATACCTTCTCCCAGATATACCAGTGGGATGGTGAAAAGCAGCTCTTCATGTTATTTAAAGAAATCTATGTGCAAGCGCCACGGTCTTTCACAGCTGTGTCAACGGATCGAAGAGATTTTTTCTTTGCCTCTAGTTTTAAAGGAAACACTCAAATATTTGAACACATCGTCATTGACTTGAGTTTATGAAAAGCTGCTGGAGTAAAATTCATGTGGAATGACATTTATACACAAACAAAACAAAGAGAGACCTTTCCAAAGACAGGGTGCACCTATGGAGTATGATGACATTTTCTGAACTTTTCAAACTTGCATATTAATCAGGGATTGCATTTACTTGGTTACTGCATGACATGTCCGTTTTATCCTTTTTCAAAGACACTTTGTAGTCTGCAGTCATTCAGAGGTGAGTGCAGTGCATTAGGACTAATGCTGACATCTAAGAGAATGATCTAAATTTTACCCAGAAAACTACCTTGACTTGAACATCTCATAAAGAAAGTGAAGAGTAAGCCATACAAAGCGTGGAAATGATCTTGACTCTCAAACTAACATGTTAGTAATGATTTTAAGATTAGAGCCAGTTCTTCATGGTTGCTGATGAATTGTAAAAGCAAACAGTAACGTTGCAGAATACACTTTATTTTAGTTTCTTGAGGTCTGTCTTCAAAATCTGTCGTGGTTTAAAAGTCCAAGGCATCGTTTTAATTCGTTGTAGATTAAAGGGAAAGTAAAATTCTATTGCCATTTTTCTTCCATTGTTCACTATTTCAGCAACAAGCTGTGCATAACAAATAGCCCAGCCCACAGTAACTGGGTAGCCAGGAAAAGAAGGGTATGTCACTACTAGACTGTGAGAGCTTAACAAGTTAACAGAGACAGAAAATAACAGAGGTCTGCTTGGTGCCATGAACGAATCAACTACAAATTCCGTCTGATTTCTGTTTCAATAGGTATTCCAGAAATTCACCCCGTTTTTCCCTAATTCCTACTCTTCCTGATGATCCCAGTAGATTCTGGGATGTTTTAACAAGTAAATCTGTTGTGGTCTCTCATTCTAGAAGGCACAGCTTAGCCTGAAACACACATCTACATTCGTGTACTCCATGCTGTAGCTCGTCTGTATGCAATGAGATGATTTATTCTCCAGCGTTCTCCCCCGAGCACAGCTCACAAGCAATAAGTTCAGGGTTTGGTTATCACAAGCTGTATTTGGGGAATCCTCCTTCTGGCTGAGGTCTCAGGATGACTTTGGTATCACCGAGACTTTTGAAACCAAGGCAGCTGGAGCTGTTTCAGGCTAGAGCTAACCCTGGCTCCAAGAAGAAGGGTTTTCCAGGCTTCCGCTGGGTTGCCAAGCCACTGAGGGTTAAACAGGAGGATGTGAAGAGACTGTGCCGCATTGGTGTTTTGGCTGGCTACAGACTATGGCATCCAGTCATGCTAAATAGGCTGGTCCTGGCACGCAGAGCCTCTGTCAGGGTAAGAGCAAGGGACTGCTTTCCTGGAAAAGCTCTCCACCATCCTTACCCAACAAAGCTGTGTATCAGAGCCCTTGTTTGTTCACTTACACAGTATGTTCCCTTTTCACACCACTGAGCATATTAGGTTGTTTCATCGTGTCTTGCTGCTACACTGCTGCCTTGGATAATAGGGAGGCTTTGCATAAAGCAGGCGGAGCAAAGGAAACTCATTTATTCCGTCATACTCAGGGCTATCTCACCATCTCTGTGCTGAGTGAGCTTCATGGTTTTGGCCTGGACATGTGAAGCATGGTTTGTTGTCACAAACAGAGATGTTCTCACAGGCTTTCGGACATCACATTCACAGATGTGAACATTGCTGCAGAAGAGGATTATGCACAAGGACTCCCATGAGGAGTCATAACCTACCAGTGACCTGGAATATCACAGCCTTCCCCAACGTTTGCCTCACTGCTGTGAAAGAAAAGTATTACTGTCAAAGACATAAGTAATTTTATTTTGTTTTTAAATGATTTTTTTCCCATAGAGGTGCTCATCCTGGTTTTATTTTTAATTGCATTGGCAACTTAGCCCATCCAGCCATCTCAAGTATTGCACTCAGCCTTCCAAATCCCAATGTGGTGTCGGTTCCCTTGGTTCAATAGGACGGATTCAACAGGAATAGGATGCAAAACAGCCCTCTGCAGCAGGTTTTAGCAATACTTCTCCTAGGATTAAGCTAACAAATCTGACAGAACGAAGAGATGATTCATGTATCTGCCAGTGAATGCAATTTCTTACCATGTTCCCAGTTTACTTTTTAAAGTGGGTATGGCTGGCAAGCGATGTTTCCTTAACCTGTGTTGTGGGAAGGCATTTTTTTTACTGCTTTTCTGTCCAGTGTGCATGTTTAAATAGAGTCAGATATTCTGCCAAGGAGGGGCATTTCTCAGTGTGCCAGCACTTTCTTTTAGGGCTCACTGCTAGTACCATTCACTCAGCAAGGGGCATCAGTCAAAGAGCTAAAAGCTAGTTTAGAGAAATTGGATCTCGACATTTTTTACTTCAAGGAAGGGGATGGAGGAAAAGGGCTTGTGTATCCAATACCAGGAGATTGTACTGTTTCGAGAGCCAGGGGGATTTTGAGACTTGGCTATCAAGTTGAATTAAATTAAAATGGTCTCTGCAGAGACAGACTTAATAAAGAGGATAAAGTGATCCACAGGAGTCTAGCTCATTCACACGGGACCAGAAGAAGAAAGTGAGGGGAATGAATTCTGCAGGCAGGCTGCCACTTCTGCTGGGTTGGTCAGGAAGCCCAGCTCGGCATCCCTCCCAGCTCCAGGAGGAGGCTGGAGTCGGGCCACCAGCCTGCCTGTTCTGCTGCGTTGGTGTGCTTGGGGTCAAAGCAGCTAAGAAGGAGGGCAAAAAGTTGATGAAGAAAAGGGATTTCAGTACATTTTTCAGGATTAAACAAAGGGAGGGTCTCAAAAAGAGCCCTGTTCTGCTCTTCCTGCTCCCAAGGAAAAGCTGCAGGATGCAGCCGTAACAACAGAAATCACCAAGCATCAAAAATACTTCTGCCTTTCCAAATGCAATAACGGGCTTGTCTCTGTGGCCAATATTCTGTAATAGAAATTGTTTTGAATAGTAAATAAACTATGCATATTCGTGATTTACTGCAACTGTTGGGCCATCAGGACAGTGAGAAAGGATAACAGAACATGCCACCTGGTAATTTTTAATGTACTCTAAAATACATACAACTATGTAAAGAACAATAGTTTATATAAGCATAGATTTAATACAATGTGCTAGCTACAGTGGGAGCGTTTTAAGGCTGTATATACATTGAGCTTTTTTTAGTAAAGAGGAGCCGATGCAATCTATGCTACTGACACATGTATGTACTCTTTCAATATATGAATAAAATGTAGTTACTGAGACTAACAGTGGTGCGTTGTGTGTGTTAAAATATCCACGCTGTGAAGATCCACGCTGCCAGAGGGATGGGCAGGGTGGGCAAACGGGTCCTTGTCCATTTATGATCAGTCTTGGCTTTTGAAAACGTGGAGGAAGCCATGCTCAGCTTAGTTAAACTCAGTTTCTCTGCCTGAGGTGGCTCGGACCTCCAAGGTTTTGCTGTTCCCTGGCTTTCCCCTTCACTCTTTCCTTACCCCCCAT